GATTTTATTACACTTGGAAAGAAAAAAACTAAGAAAATAATTTTGATCGAAATCACGAGAAATGATATTGATGGCTCGAAAACTAAACTTGAAAATCTTTTCAAAACGGCAAAATCTATTCCAGAAACATTAAAAATGCATTCAGTTAAAGTGATTGATGACGATGAATTAGAATTTCGTTATTATTCGGCGTGTTCTCAGAAAAAAACTATAACATATTGATAGTAAACATGCAGATTTTTTAGAACTTTTTGTTTGACTTTGTTTTGATGATTATGTTTGTATTTAGATACTCAATGAAATGTAGAAAGGGGTTTCATTTAATTAAGACTTTGTTGTAAACAATAAGATGAAAAGAAAATAGTAGAAAAAGAATTTACTAATAGAAACATCTAAAAAAAAATACCCAGCTCGAAGGAGGCCGGGTCTTCGTCCCGAGCTGGAGAAACACTAAAGTTTAAGATAGTATGCACTTAAATTTTAGTGGCAAAGAGCCTCTGAGTGTGCCTCAAACCTATAGTAGAAGCATAGTTTATTGAAGCACGAAATGTTCACTTCAACAGAGATTTAAGAGGTCTCCATATATGCTGATGCTATCTTTAGTGGTTAGAGTTTTAGAAATGTCTCTTTGAACGTTTAAACAACGTGTTGAGACATAGTCACATCAAATAAAAAGAACACATGAATTTTCGAAAAAAAGGTGTCACACCGTTAAGAAAAACGTCACACCGTTACGTTTGTTTTTCGCATTTTTTACGTGAAGAAAAGATGTTAGGACAAATTTTTTTAACCATTGTGAAGCTCGTTAAAAGCTCTACAAAATTCGTCCTTGTTGCATTTTATTTGGACAGCGACTTTCGCAGGAAATCACGGCTTAAGGGCAAACACTTCAAATTCAGGGTCCTTTTATGTCACACTGTTACGCGATGAAAAAATCTGTCCAGAGACCCGAAAGTTCGACGAAAACTACTCATTTTTATAGCATAAATAGAGCATGACGAGCTGCGTCTAATGGCGCTTGAACGAACTTTCTAGCTCCTAAAGTTCTCGAGATAATTGGAAAGTAGTATGTCAAAAACGTTACACCGTTACGCTTGGACAAGCCGATATGCTATCCTATGATATTTCACAAAAATGAATGTTTCACCATTTTTCACAGATAAGTTCAAATGAGCTGAAACTTTTAATTTAGAGGTTTCGCGGTATGGGCTTTCATCTCAAACAGTCAAATGAATCATTTGGAAGAAAATCACCAATCTTTATAGTTAGAATCGGGTCCCAAATTCGGCCTTTCTAATCTTGTTCAAAACATTTTTGCTACGAAAGTTCAATACCACAAAATTTTGAAAACGTCATTCCACGCATTGTGATCTGCTCTTTCAAATGAGACTACTCTAGATTTATTCTAGAGCGCTGATTCTACCAACTTGCCATATCTACGTGAGGACGTTTTCTGAACATAATATATAATGCTACCCAAAAATCATCCATTGATGAGATACTTTTATTACCATACAAATATAGCCCATCGTCGGTAGTATTTATGGTAAAAAAATCTCAGTGATATCTCTTGTTCTTCTCGAAATAATAGAGATTTACTGGAAAGTATTGCACTATAAAGTACTCCAAATGGGATCCACCCTGTCATACTTGTATCGTCTATATCTCCAAAATAGTTCATCCGTTTGAGCTGAAATTTTCAGTTTCTTTCTAAGACTCTTAGGCCTACGTAATGTAAAAATATCAGCCAAATCGGTGAGATTGACTGAGCAACGTTGGTCGTGGTTTACGTGCAATGCCTCTTAGGATGGAGTGTGGATGTGAATGTGACTCTACTCAAACAACACTCACACACTAAAAAAACTAAAGGGACCTAAAGGGACCTAAAGGGACTAAAAGGACTAAAGGAACTAAAAGGACTAAACGGACTAAAGGGACCTAAAGGGACTAAAGAAACTAAAGGGACCTAAAGGGACTAAAAGGACTAAAGTGACTAAAGGGACTAAAAGGACTAAAGGGACCTAAAGAGACTAAAAGGACTAAAGTGACTAAAGGGACTAAAAGGACTAAAGGGACCTAAAGAGACTAAAAGGACTAAAGGGACTAAAGGGATAGCTTAAAGGGCCTAAAAGTAAAACGGGATAAATTTTTATTTTTCGTGGACCCCTCACACACATGCATGAGAATAGTGGTATAAATATATAAATTCATTCAAACTTAATTTTCACCAGAAAAAGTGAACAACTAATACTTACACTTGCTATTCTTTTCTGGTGAAGAGAATCATTATTTATTATGGACTAAAAATATGCATAGCCTGTTAAAAATGATTTTCACTTATGATATAGTTGAATAATAAAAGAAAGTCGAAACGAATTTATAATTAATTAATTTTTTGATATATGCAAACAGCTCTTCAAAACCAATCTGCTTAAATTCGAAAATTTTTATGCCATAAGTAAATCGAAATCGTAGCTTTTCCAGTGCCAAAATATTAATTTTATGCGAAAAATAATATATGGAGTATGAAACTTTACATTTATTGATGTTTAAACTGACTTGTTTTGAAGAGTTGTTTGCATATATCAATATAAATTTATTAATAGTTTGGCTCGACTTGCTTTTATCATTCGTCTTTATCATAATTGAAAATCATCTGCGAAACTCTACATGGATTTAAAGCAAGAAAGTTTCAATGAAATCATATCATAAGAAACAAGAGCAATTTTTTGGATAAATGTTGATTTATTTAACTGTTTGTTCTCATTACTATTTACGTATATATTTCTCATATATTTCATAAATCGTAATTTTCACAAAAAATTGAAAGCTCATTCCGCGAAAATCTCCATTTTGTTGGATCAAATTTCGTTATAAACTCACGATTAATCGACCGAAGAAATTGTGATTAACTTGGCGATTCTTATGGCATGGAAACTCTTTAAAGATAAATCGTCTGAATTAAAAACGAACAACATCTTTCATGATTTAAAGAAAGCTAATTTTCGTTCTAGATGATTTAATTTTGAGTCTATTATTTCAATAAGCAGAACGTTTTACAAAGCCATTTCATATTTGTTTTCTAGTTACAGTGCATCGATTACTCAACGCCATAACTATAACGATAATGTTTGTAATTTTTCTTTATTTGTTATAGATTTTTTCAATTTTAGTACTAAGGTTATCAGCAAATGGAACATACGAACAATAATCAAAATATTCAATTAGTGCAATTGAAAAATAGTTTGACAAAATATCTCATTGATTATCTTCAAAATCTTAATTTCTACAAATCAAATTCGAATGATATTAATACAATACATAAAGAAAGATTATCGACTCGTCTCTATATTTCTTTACTCTGTATATTCATGACTTTTATAATTATGTATTCTGCACTTTTATTACGTACAGTCAATGTTACAGTTCACAATCCTTCTGAAAAGAAATTTAAAGAGATCTATGATAAATATCGTGATACTTTAAAATGTCCTTGTTCTCGTGTTAGTGCACAATATAGTGAATTCGCTTATTTTCAAGTTACTTTTCACGAGGTTTGCAATAGTGAGTTCGTTTCACAAGAATGGATTGATGAAGTTTATGGCGCTAATGTTTCATTTATTCCACCAAATGATGTTCGAACTATATTAAGTCACTTTTGGCAATTGATTCGTTCATTCTGTACATTAACAAATATTTATCTTATTGATGCATCGAATGAATTCAATTCAAGCAATTTAGTTAGTCTTTCCGCACAGCCCCAACATATAATAGAAACAAAAATCAATACAAGTCTCAATTTTGCAATTAATTCAGCAATCATAAATCTTAAAAAGAATCTACTTATTACACGTGAAACAATTTTGGTCAATGGACAAATATCAATTTTAGGTACTAATTACTTTTTATACATAGATTTTGTACAATTATCATTTTATCCGCCATTTGGCATTGGTATAAATACTACATACTTTTCAGATGGTTGTTCTTGTGAGAATCATAATGGATGTCCACGTTCGGCTGTTGTTTTTGAGTTCAATGAAACATCCACTTTCGAAAATATACCAGGCATGATGTTCGATTGTTTACCATTAGATGGTGCACTTGCTTCATCATTTGAATGTTTTTATGATTCATGGTGTTTATCATTGATTCAAAATGTATCAAAAAGTAATATGAGATCAGAACCACTTCATAGTCAAAGTCGTTTTGGACATAATACTACTTTAAAGACACTTTTAGATGAACTTATGATTGAACAATTAACTATGACAGTTGTATTTTCATCTTACTATTCCATCTGTAATCCTAAATATTGCACTTACTCATATACTCATAGATTCGATATACTTTTTATCATTACATTTACAGCAAGCGCATTTGGTGGTATATCAGTTGTACTAATATTCATAGCTCCACTATTGATCAAATTAGCATATTGGATAGTTACATTGAGAAAAAGAAATAATTCACTTGGTATTCATAATACAAATCAATCAATAAATCCATGTAAGTTCTTTTGACTTTTTCGAAAGTTCTTTAGTTTTACCTGTAAGTTTTGCTAAAATATCGACTGATTTAAATTTGAGTTTTTATATACGTTTGTAAAGTTAATTTCAGGTAAGGAAACGAAATATATACATTCACTTCGAGATTTGGATTATTTAATAATTAAGATTTTGTTAGATCTCTAGCATGTCGCATTATAATAATTAATATATAATAGGTAATCTATGTCTACTGATTGGTAAAATGCGACATCATTTCAAAGAAATAAGTATATTTCTCAAACAGATTTTTGTCTCTCAATATGGATGCACTACTTTCTTTTGTGAAACACGATCTGAAAGGAGTGTTGAAGTGTTTAGAGTAGAAATTTGCACCCTCCCCCCCCTCCCTTTCCCCCACAGACCGTGACAGACATGGTCCACGGATCAGCATTGACTATGGCAGACACCTTATATGGTGGATCAAACATTGATTGATGAGTTTAAATGATGATCGAAGATCTTATATAAGTGACATCTAATGGAAAAGCTTTATCAAGTGGTTGCATTTCGACTTTAGCTGGTATACATTTAGCTACAATGAAGAAGTGCGTTCTGAAATGCATAAAATGGAGAGTTTTTCAGGGATTTGGTAGCAACGAGTATATCGAGTTTCACATTTTAATTCCACAAGGGATTGCGCTGACAGCTCTTTTAGCGGTATTTAATTATCATAGGCTAGCAAATGAAAAGATTTGTTCTTCTAATTTTCTTGAATCTTCTACTGATATTTTACAGAACCGCAAGATCTTTCAAGAATGTTAAGATACAAAGCGAGGTAAGATTTCTGAGACCATGAATTTTTTGATGGTTTTCATCTGATCTTGCAAGATCATATAAAATCAGAGGTACGATCGTATAAGATCGTACTGTCTGCTTGTTAGACTTGGATGGAACCTTTTCGATGGTGGTTTTAGAAAAGAAGTTGTTGTAAGTTGATCAACTATCTGAAGATTTTATAAATCGGAGAAATCAATCTAAAAGATCGCTGAGAAATATATGAGAAAGAATTGAGATGCAGGCTCAATCGATTATAAATGCTGTTACTTTTTATCTTCGGGGTGTCCTAGAAATGAACTGGTTTTTATATTTTGAACACAGGATGCCCATAGAGATACCATGGTAACGGTGAAAAGTCGGATCATCGGTACGGATGAACAATGCACCGGTTGTACGAAGGATCCGTTTGTAACAACAGACTGGATTTGAAGTAGCTTGCTGCTACTCAACAATGATGTTTATTATTTACTTCAAATATCCAGAATATGTCTACTTTGCATTAAATGAAAGCTTATGCAGGCGAGAGAGAGAGAGATAGACGAATAATGGTAACAATGACAAAGATATGATACAGAGGAAACGGAAAGACGAGTGATGGGTGACATCGATATCGGCACACCGTGGCCCCGGTACACACCGATCAATTTTTAGCGAATCCCTATTTCAATATTATGTAACACATACCAGAAAGTTGTGCATTCATTTTTACGTTTAGTAGTAGCCTATTTAACAGTACAACGTTTTTTACAAATGTTCCTCGAAATTTGGGATATTTCAGAATATCGAATCAGTAAGAATCTAGAAATATACGGTAACGAACGGTGTGTACGAGACAGTCGATAATGCGAACTCTAAGCCATATACATAATAGTATTAACCGATCATCACCATAGACTCCTGGTGTGCCAATCGACATGATTGGTCTTAATTATGAGAGCGAAACTCTATAACTAAGTAAGCATTGTTATAACAGATGAAACATATTTTTCATGGACAAAGGTATTGATTAGGCTAGGCATACGATCCGTTAGAGCATGAAGACCAACGGGGATGGTCAATGGATGAGCACTATCGAGTGAACTGTGCCTAAATGTCTCCGGCTAGTGGTAGCAACCGGTCATCATGATACATTTCATTCATCCTAATCGACTTTATTGATTAAAATGGTGTTGGTTAAGATCGTATTCCTACGTTATTTCCACAATTATGTTTGATATTCGGATATTGGAGATCAGAGAACCTATAATCCACCATTGCCATTGCATCCCTAGACATCACTAACTTTTTATTCACAAATATAAAGTGCTTTAGTACGCATCTAATCTGGTTTAAGCATTTCTAATTAAATCGTAAACATCAATATTCGAAAAACCAGTTCTTGCATATTCTCAGTATTTGTCTCATAAACTTCAAAAGATCTTTTAACACTCATGTATGCTATAAATATAGAAAATCGCTCCCTTCAACTATTAATCGTTTTCTACTTTTTGATTTATTTACAAAGTCAGATTTGTTAAATTCACTTTAAATATAGTAAACATGCTGTACAATCAACATATTTTTCTAAATAAATTGTTTATTCTCTTTCTTTAGTACGTTTCATCATAACAAGACGATTTAATCTTCGTTTGACTATTCAAAACTTGCTTCAAAATCTTAATTTATTTAACAGTTCATCTCAAAATCCAAGTGTTATACAAAGAGAACGTTTTACAACTCGTATCTTTCTCGTGTGTATCATTAGTAGCATAATCATATACAGCTTTTATATAAGTCTAGCAAATCAAACAAAAATAATCATTATAACTAATACAACTCAAGATGAATATGAACAACTTTGGAATTTGCATTCAGATACACTTTATTGTCCATGTTCCGAAATTACTATTCCATATTCTAATTTTATTCAAATTATACCTATATTTCATCAACTATGTTCAAGTATGTTTATTTCTCCTGAATGGTTTGATGAACTGTCGCATGCTATGGTCGTGGATATTTACCAGTATTCCCAATTCGCAGGAACAATTGGTGCACATTATTTCAAAGGTCTCGCTGCATTCTGTTCAATAGCAGAGCAAGCAGTGAATAATTCCTATCGATTATTTTCTGCTAAAACATTCATTAGTGATCGTATATTGCCTAAAAACATCTTTGATAACGAAGTCAAAATTCTTGTTGATACATTCAACGAATCAACATTTTCTGAATTGTATCGTACTTTCTCACTTACTCGAGTGGCGGTAGAAACCAATCCATTTGCTAGCAGAATAGGACAACAAGTTACATTCTTGGTAGATAACGAATATCAAATAAAAATAGAATCAGGACAAATAGAAAATCAGCGTATGAAAGCACCTGGCGCACCACCTTGTACTTGTCTGTTGCCAGATGATGACTGTTACGCGTATGCATATGTTTACAGTTTTACGGAAACATTCGACATGACTAAAATTAATGGTTTATTGATTAAATGTTTCTCGACTGAATCGACACTGTTCTCAACTTTAGAATGTTGGTACAATCATTCTTGCGTGGAACTCGTCCGTATGCATTATATCATGAATGGCGTGACCAATATCATTGATATTGCTCCGCTTGATGAAAATCTTCCAAGTAAATTTTCTATAAATGATACAATTGAAGTATTGATAAATGCACTTCTACTTGAGAACTTTACTATTAACATTTCTTATGATCAATACTATGCTAAATGTGCTCCATTGTCTTGTATTTATACTATTGAAGAAACTTTCGATTTTATTTTTCTGATTACTAGTATTTTGGCTATTTATGCTGTTTTGAACAAAATTTTTCGATTAACTTTACCATTTATTGTTCAATTAACTTTGATCATTTGGAATCGAATTCGAAAAGAAAATTCTCCTCCTAATCAATCGACACACATTCTTGAAGACACGCAACATAACAGTAAGTTAAGCAAATAAAATTTGTTTTTTGTATTCTAAAGAATGACGCCATTTAACAATGTATGATAATCGATTTTACTTTTCAATTGACCTTTTGCATTGTTGCGAATCGCAGCCATTATAAAATTGAAAGAGTATTTGAAAAAATATTTTATCAGAAGTTTAAAAAATACATTTAATGAAAAGCATTCAACAAACATTTGGAGTTCCAGTTTGGAAAAAGTAATCGATTTCATGAAAAAAATTGTTCTTGAAGTTCATTAAAATATTTCTATGGCAACAACACTTTTTTGGTACAGTAAAAGAGAGTTTAAAAATCTTTGTCATTTATTTGTATTTTTCATAAAATAGATTCATCAATTATCATAGTATATTATTGAGGTTTTTTTGAGACACAGTTGAATAGAATTCAGTTATTAAAAAACTAGGTGCTAATTTACAGTAGCATACAAAAACTAAAAATACGAGTCGATGTTTGCTTAATATTGACAGTCATTTCTTTGGACCAGTTTCAACGATGAAAAAATAGGATTTATCATTTGCTGTAAAATAGAATTATTCAAAGGAAACAAATATAGTTGATAAATATTTAATTTAGCCTTTGGTGATAAGCATAAATGGTGCAAATGTGTTTCTAATTGGTTTTAGTTCATCAACAGTCGACGACAGAGTTCAGGATGTTTCTCAAATACACTGTCTAAGATAAATTTGTCTCTATTATTGATAGTTTTATTCTCTTTTCTGTTGCACTTATTCCATATTAAATCTCTTCATAAAGAAAACTCAAGTGATAATCAATATACATAGTTTTACAAAGCATATGAATTTCTCACTGGTATCTAAATTTCTGACAATGAAATATATTGTATTACCAATATTCTTATGATGACGATTTGAGTATAAGACATTTTCGATCAGTTCAATTGAAAGATATTGATATGAAAACTTTCATAGAAGTGCACTATGAAATAAATCTTCAAATATCCTCCTGACATTTTCTTCGTCGAAATCCGATACAAGCGAAATTTCACAGCGCATTCTGGACTTGTAAAAAGATTAATTTATTCTACCAGAGACGGAAACAAAAACGGAACCTAATTTGAATGTATATGCTGACGAATCAAATTGATTTGCAATTTTTAAATGGTCTATATCTCTTTAATCAATCTCAAATTTGAGCAATAAAGTTCATTTTGGTGGAAGGTTCATGCACTTTCTACCTTGTCCTTTTTAATATTTGTCAATCTCTTTGCGTAGAGACTTTACTAGTTCAACTATCATTTGTATATTTTTAAAGGGGGACAATGCTAGACAAAGCATTTTCATTTGTAACTTTCCATGACTATTCGTATTTCCACATACCTGGCAGTTTTATAACACAATGCAGTATTTAAAGTTTCCAATGTTTTGAACCATTTTATAAATGTATGGATTAAGCTTTATCTTTGATATTGCGTGTATTTGTTTTCCAATTTCATGATCGACAATATAATTATGAATAAATTTTTATCGGACGCTTTACTAAACTGCTACATATTTTGATTTTTTTAATTAACCTTAAAACTGATTTTCAGTAACTTAAGCGACATGCAAAACATCGCAGTTTTCTAACTCAAAATTTGTGTGAATGAATCAACTAAGTTTTAGTGTTTATTAACTTCTGTTCAGATCTGGAAGCAGAGACAAATTTTGACTGTCATTCGAAGTTTGTACATTCATTTTCCAAATATTTGTGCCTTTCCCTAAGCAGATGATACTTGTAGCAACGTTAATTATGGCAATCGAAAAACTTTTCTGTTATACAATCAATAAGAAGAAATAATTGTTCTTATGAAATTCAGGGCCTAATATATTTTGAAGAAACCTATTTGAAGATTTTGAGTTTCTCTCAATTCATAGATTTAACATAAAGAGAAAATTTAGCAAACGATTTATGTGAGATGTGCTTATATTTCGCCGTCATCTACTGTTTCGTTTAGGAGTATTTTGAGACTAAGACTCTCACTTTCGATTGTAGACATTTACCAAGCCCACAACTTTCCGAGATTCAGTCGTTCCCAGGTTTCAACATTCACTCAGTTGGATTGGAGAGAATGTTAATCATACAGGAGATAGTCATACAGTTAAGAAAAAAAGATTTTGTTAGCTGTGTAGATATTTAGTGTATAATTAAACTTTTCTCCAGTACGATTAAGTGAATGATATAACTCGGGAATAACCGAACCTCTGAATTCTTCGTCTGTTCTCGGGTTCGGTGGATGCCTACTCGGTTAGTCTCGGTCTTGATAACGATGAGCAGGTATATAATAAGACAGGAGAATACCTATCAAAAATCAGCACTTTTCTCAATGATAAGCTTAAGAGGAAATTTATTGAAAATGGCGAATATATTTTTGTGTCAAGAACCTCAAGACTAAGGATTCATCGATATTGAAGATTTCTTAACAAAGATGAAAATCCCAGAGACTCTAGTAAGTTTTATTTGAGATTTTCTTTGCTTGATTTCATCTAGTCATGTAGATAACAGGGCAGATCGATTATCAAAAAAGAAAAGACAGTTATTCGGTCAGTCTCACTTGAAATGACGAGGAAAAGTACAATTTGAGCCTGAGAGAGCGACGCTGCAGATTTTTATCTAGTCTTAATATATTCCTAGCCTCACTTTCTCATAATTGATACTTGTTCTTCTAGTTCTGAAGTCTTCATACATCACTCGAATCCGAGAATATATATCGAAATTCAATCTTTTTCAAAATGAATCTAGTACAAATGATACTCAACGACAAGAAATTCTATCGACACGTCTGTTTCTTGCTTTGGTTATTGGTTTTACAATTGTTCTTTTTCTCTACACTGGATTAGTCAAGCGAACTACTACCATGACAACTTTGGCTCCTTCAATGTCAACTTGCATAAATCTTCAGAAACATTATTCTGACACACTTCAATGTCCTTGTTCCTATATGTCTATACCTTACAATGAGTTTATTATCTTTATCAATGCAACATTTCATCCTATTTGCTCCAGTAACAATTTTTCCAATATATGGTACAACTATTTTTATGTTTACCAAAGTAATCTGCTTTGGTGGCTTCAACACAATGATTTTCGCAGTTGGTCTATCCTCTTCTTTAATTTTCTGGAAAAATATTGTGAACAAGCAATCTCAACTGTCACTGGTGCCATAGAACAGTTAAATTTAGTATCATTTGTATCGTCTGAAGTTATGTCTCCGATTCTATTTAAAACTCAAGTGGACATGGCGATCAAATTATTTCAAAAGTCAACTTCGATATCATTTGCTCGTCAACTTCAAATGTTTCGTGAAATTACTCGAGGAAATGGTTTAATATCAAATTTGGGAACTAGTGTAGAATTGAAGGTAGATCGAATAGCTGTCAATGCCTCTATTCTTGTTTTACCAAAAACTTATAATAATGGGAATTGTTCATGTGCAACTTCGAGTACTTGTGTAGAATTGGCAAGTTTCTACAATAGCACTCAACACGCAGTTTACACTCTTGAAAATATCTACACTGGATGTTTTTTACTTGACTCAATAATTCATTCATCACTCTCTTGTTTTTTCTCATACTCGTGTATGATCAATCTCATGGAAGCGACGGTTCTTGGAAACCCATATTCGATTAGAATACCGAACATAATTCCCATCTCAGCACTACAATTCTCGTCATCAAATTCAAACTTTAAAATCAATGACACAATCGAAACAATAGTCTATCGGTTATTTATTGATTCTTGGTCAAATGAAATTTCTTATGACCTATATTATAATGCGTGTGCACCAACACATTGTACTTATTTATATGAAAGACGTTTCGATATTCTATATGCAATGACAATCTTCTTGTCTGTTATTAATGGACTTTTACTTGGTCTTCGTTCTGTTGTTCCAGTGTTAGTTCGACTGACATACAAACTACAAAACCGTCTCTGCAATTAATCTAAATAATAGAGGCATATCTTATTTGAAACTTGAATAATATACATTCCGCTAAACGGTCACATAACGCAAATATATGAAACGGTCGTTTTCTTATAATTGTTGTAACCTATAAAACTTGTTTATGAGAAGAAAGTGTCCAACTTGAAACTAATTTGTTTATAAGCCAGGGTTATTGACAATACTTATTGAACTAGTTTCACTGAGATTTTAATCATTAACTAATATCTGAATGACTTTTAAGAGCCTCTGCTCGAAATAATTAGCAATTACTAGGCGATCAGTGTTTCAAATCAAACATGTCGAACCGAACAATGATAAATAGCCTAAACAATCAAATAAGAAACTCGTTTTGAGTATTGATAACATGTGGTTCAAACCGGAGAAAAACCTGTCACTTAATCGATCAGCATAGTGTGCACGATAATAATTTACTAGTATACGACTGCGTTTTCGAAAAAAAGAATATCGTGATGACTTGTGTGAGAACGGTTCAATATTTTTGAAATATATTAAAATTGTAGAAACTCGGCTAATATCATCGTCACTGTATATTGTTCATGCGCCCAAGTCATCTGGATTAGGCACAGGGTACAAGTCGGATCCACTATCAATATAATTCTTTTACGAAGCAGACAGCTGCAGAAAACACAATAAATAAAATACATTGTAAAATTGTTTCTTGATCGACAAATTAGTATTTGCAGTCTGTAAAACAATTATATACAGATGTACAGGAGATAAATCTGCCACATGAATTGTTCTAACCATGACGAGATTGATTTGAGTGAAGATAAGATATCTACCAGATCCTCTGGATTCTATAACTGGAACAAGCTTGGACAAGTCTTTAATAAACACCAGAAGTTTGAGAAGCTGAGAATTATTTTAGCCGAAGAGCAGAAAATATCAGAAAAAAGTCATTGTAACCAGATGATAATCAGACAAGTATAAAATCTATTGAAAATAAGCTTTTCATTGAGCGAAATGTTATTCAAAAGCGAAAAAGATTGGAAAGATACTGTATCTATCAACATCCTACTAATAAGAATC